GCAAGGTTCTGAACCAATTAGATTCGTTATAGCATACCCCACTGATATATATATATATATGTATATGATTCATTTCGTGCTCATAAGTTCATAATGTACCTACATGTGTGTGTATATATACAGCAAACCCTCAATTTACACAGGTTATTATGTGGTATTGTAAAAAAAAAAAAAAAAAAAAAAGGACATAAGTTTTATTTGCCCCAAAATACTTCTTGTTTTGTTCTCAAATATCATAAATCCATTTTGCCTATGAAATTAACACTTAACATTCTTAAATGATAGATGAATGATACTAAACTTCTACACTGCTTTACTATTCTACAGTACAACATACAGTACTCAAAATAAACACAAATATGTAAACAGTAGTATTGTATGTAGGTAATTAATATACAGAAATTGGTTATTGTACTGTACTCACAGTTCTTCATGGATCCAATGTTTGTTCTTAACCTTGTTCACACAGTCTCCCACATATAAGTCCCTAAAACCTGTGCAGTTTAATGTGTGGTGTATATTGAGATTGCTTTCTTATGGGTCCTAAAAGTAGACACAGTACAGTACAGTAAGCTTGGGAGGTGTACCACCCATATTTTAAGACAATGTCTCAGTAGTTGAGGTTGATACAATACAGTTCTTTACACACAGACAAGAGTGGTGGGATGTACAGCAATAGCAAAACCTCCTCCTCCTCCTTGTAGAGTACTGGCATTCCCTGGTTACGGAAGGGTTCCCTTACTGAAAATCTTTCGGTAATGTAAAACCATTTTATTCATATATTGTACAGTACAGTATTTTCATTATAAGAGTTGAGCTATGTTCCTAAGGTAAATTTTTGAGGCCCAAAAACGTGACACAAGCACATGTATGAAATTAGATGGATTTCACATGTACCGTGATAATAAATGAACAAAAAACTTGAATTTTACTTACCAGAAATGATGTTGAGTGCTGCAGGAGGTGGTGTAGTGAGGTGGTGTGATCAGAGTTACTTGGAGTTATCTCCTTAATGCATCAAGTTTAATGTCCAACGTAATTTCTTTATGGAATCTTTTATCACTGCTACTTTCACTTGAACTTGATGGTCTTTTTCCACTCATGTTGAAAAAGGATACACAGTAACACAGATGCAAACTGAGGATAGAATTCTAAACATTGCCATTGTTGTGGTGGTTGCTGGCAACGGGGGAGGTGGGTGGCCTTTCAACCACCTTGTGGCCACCACAGATAATCCACACAATATAATTTTTACAATTTTGGAAAAAATTTTACTTATTTATTTATTTTTTTTTATACTAAAATTCTGTAAGGGAGTTTTTCCATAACCCAAAATTATACAGTTGTCATAATTTCAAAATTCTGTAACTGTAGATTCCTTAACGTGGCAGATGCTTGTATGGTACAGGGGGGCCCCCAAGTTCAAGAATTTTTATTTCATGGTCCCCTATTATTCACGGATGACACCCTGGATGTACCCAAGAATGTCTGTGGGTAGTTTTAAAGTTTTCGGCATTTTCGTGGCTGGGACAGGGAGACATTCGTTCTAGAGACAGTAATTTCCTTTACCTGTATTGTAAATAATAATAATAATAATAATAATAATTAACGGTTTATTGAAAGAGCTTTGGCAGCCAGAAGGCTGAAAATATACAGTTACATATTTGGGGAATGGGTTACAATTACAAATAAATATACAAGGACATAAGGACACAAATAAGACATATAGTAACTTAGATGGGAATCAGCTCAAACTACAGTTCATTTCAACATAGTGACAGTGTAGGGAGCAGTGTTTACTGGGAGTGAATACACTGATTTATTACATGTTATTGATAATTTTACAATGGTTGGGACTGGGCTGTTCTTATAGCGATCAGTTCGTGCACGTATGGGCTGGATGCGGTTGTGGTGTCGAACAGCAATTCTCGGACAGGGGATCTCAGGTGGTAGTAGGGGCCGGTGTCGAGGATGGTGTAGAAGCTTCTTACCAAATTTGCAGATGAGGCCGTGGTGATGGTCAGTGAGAGTCGAAAGGGTCAGTGTGTTGAGCGCTTCTTGATATGTGGAGTAGGAAGGAGAATAATCTTGCATGCCCTGTATGTGTGTGTGTGTGTGCAGTGGTGGGCACGGTTCCGCTAATTAGCAAAGCTAACATTCTCGTTAGCGGATTAGCGTTTTCGCTAACTTTGGAAACCATTAGCGGACCAATTAGCTTCCGCTAAATTTAGTTCCGCTAGCTTTATGTCCACTAACAAAATTTATACATGTTTGTTCCTGTCTGTTGTAAGGTGTGACGCCACGACGCGTGTCTCCAACAGCCAGTCAGGCACGCTTGGCTGACTGCGTGTTAGTACTGTAAAGTTTAGAGTTTTCTGTTTATTTACATAACTAAGACCAACAATAAGTTATATAAAAATGCACTGGTATAATGTGTATGTGGTTGGTATTGCATATTTACATGAATAATGAATAAGGCCGATAGGTTGTATGAGAATGCAAATTAATTATTTGTGAAATTGTGTACAGTGTACACCTTGATAAGTTGATCATCATCTGATCTTGCCATGATGCTATTTGCTACCTATGCTATACAGTATTATAGTTTTTGGATTCGTTTAATACTTTGTCTTTTCGTACAGTAAATAAAGATTATAAAGTGTATGTTGAAACCTGAATGTAAACTAATGTTTAATTTCATTTGTTCATTTGATTATTTGTGTACACCTTGATCATCATCTGATCTTGGCATGCTATACCTTTTTGGAAAGCTCTTTGTCTAAGCTACAAGACAACATATGAAAATTTCAGCGCTCTAGGTCTGTTTTTAAGGGTTTTTAGGCCCCCAAAAAAAAAAAACCAAGCTAAATTCATATAATAAAAGTTAGCGATTAGCGTTAGCTTCCGCTAATTTTTTTTAGCTGTTTAGCGTTAGCGAATTTAACTTTTTAGTTAGCAGATTAGCAAAGCTAACTTTTTGTTTAGCTGTGTGTGTGTGTGTGTGTGTGTGTGTGTGTGTGTGTGCGCGCGTGCGTGCGTGCGTGCGTGCGTGCGTGCGTGTGCAAAACACATACAAATAAATAATAATGGGAAAATCCTCTCACAAATAATAAAAAAATTATTAAAAATGTGACAATCTAACCTACAGTCCGTGCTTTATTAATAAAGCACGGGACTTGGGGTAGGCTCACATTTTTAATAAATTTGTTCCTAATTATTTGCAAGAGGATTTTCCCATTATTATTTATTTGCATGTGTTTTGTATGCGTGTGTCTACACACACACATGCATATTTATAATACAGGACAAAGAAATATTCATTTCTTTGTCAACAAGTAAAAATGTACCCTCCTCCCCCACCGGTCAGCAAATATTATTTGCGGATTTAGCGATTCGCGTCCATTTTGAAAACCTAACCCCGCAAATTTGGGGGTCCCCTTGTATTATTATAATTAATATGCCACAACTCCTGCAGTATAGAATGGGGGTTGCTTATTTTGGGTGTAACAGTATATTATTCCTTACAAATAACTTAAGGAAATAGAAGTTGTGTAAATGAAGGGATTACTGTATTGTATAAGCTGTCATACTGATTAAAATTAAGATGGCTCGATTGTGTAAACCATAAGTTTTTTTTATCTAATTTGAAAATGCAGTGAGCCATAATCCATCGGGTGACTTGATGTGCAATAATAATTAGATTTCCATACATATACTGTATCTAGTGGGGAACATTGATATTTTTTTGTGTCTGTTTTCTCTACGTTAACTATTTCTTGTATGTGCTTCTCCACACTGCTTGGCCTGGAATAAATCTCTTGGCACTGACTCACCCATGATGGGGTAGACATGAATGTTGATCTCCACCTCCACCTTCACTTATAAAACAAAAGGGTCAAGTCGGCCTCATATAGCATAAACTTATACTGTTCACGCTCCATCACATCTTCCATGCATTTGTATTATGTTATTGTTACTTTGAAATTTATATTGAATCACTTAAATAACACAGTAGTAGTAAATATTTACCTCGGGATATTATGAATGTTGAATAAAATAGGTTTTGCAATTAGCATGCCAATGAATGTTTATAAAGGCTGTTGTGGTATACATTATTAATATTTCCATATTTTGTGTTAAGAATACCTGATACAGCACAGTACTGTATATGTGAGGATCTTACAGTTAATATGTGCACTAGATGCCTTGATGGAAAATATGATATAGTCTCTTAGACATTCACAATGATGGATGGAGCAATATAAAACATAGAACTGAATGACAGCAACACTGAGAACTGGACATCTTTTCCTAAAGGTACAGTAGTTGATTTAGTATTCTGAAGTGATACTTAAAATAAATTAATTCCTTGTGAATTATATTGTTTCAGCTTGCAGGATATTTTCCATTGGAAGAGGAGATAGGTGTACAGTATTTGTTTAGGATATCTAGGATGCCAAGCAAGGGAAGACGTATTTGGTATTCAACACATGACAACATTTGGTGGGTTGCTCTATGTAAATCCAGTGACTGAAACCTGATTTTGCACATGATATTGTATACTACTGTACTTTATTAATGTAATATACATATTAACGTGTTAGATCTTATGACAATAGTTAACAGATTATTCTTAGGAAAAGCCATGAAGGTGCTGAGGTGTCCAGGAACAAGAGGTTGGATGTAAATAGTTGGCAGTGAGTGTTGGGCGTTATTTCTCTATGTATTGGGAGGTACCGGCAGTTTTTTTTTTTTTTTTTTTTTTTTTTTTTTTTTTTTTTTTTTTTTTTTTTTTTTTTTTTTGTCTAATATGAGTCTCTTGCCAAGATTTATGATCCGTATAGTGTACTTACTTCAGTCTTCCTACATGATGTGATAGTACTGGTACACTGTTTTTTGGAAAGTCTGTATGTTTAGTATTTTCAGTTGGTGTTTGTATGTAGTTTTTAAATGACTAGATTTATTTCAGGTTACAACAGAGGAGTATTTATTATCCACAGCTGGTGAGGTGCCTATGGCCCCATTGTATGTTCCCTCAAGGGTTCACGTTGTTCAAGGGGTCCAGATAGGATCCTCAGTTACTCCTGCTGCGTACCCCACTTATGGACATGGTGTGTTGCTCTCTCACATAGTTGTTGTTGTCATCTTGCTTGCCATGTAATGAAAATGTACAGCACTATTTAAATGTTCCCTCATTGTAGTGTTTTGCCAACTGGTTTAGTTGTTTTTCATTATTTTACCTATCCCCTAGTATGACAATTTGGTTACCCTTCATTATATGTGTATGACATTACATTTTAGTTGTTTTGAGGCATATTTAATCATATTGCAGTACGTACTGCATTATCTGTCGTCATGAATGAATAAGAAACAAACTGTATGTACTGTTATTTTACAACAGTCAAGATGTTTTTATTGAAGAAGAAATCATTAGAATAAAAAGTATGTTTCGGTGGTGTATTGTTATAGTGTGTTCAACAAAAACAGTAAACATTAAAAGTACTGTATTAATGTACATGTCTGGGTCTTTCCTGAAGTAGACACCACACAAATGCTTCTCCCTTTATAATATGAGGTTTCATTGTTTAGTAGTGTATTTCAGGCAACTCCCTACCCAGTCCAAGTTATCAGCAATCTTCAATCTTTTTAAATCCCATAGTTCACTGTACCATATCAATTTTAGTGTCTCTCTTCCCCCCTCTTTTTTATTTACATCTTCCATATACTGTACATTACAGTACAGTCGTGTCGCATCTTACACGCATTCAACTTTATGCACTTGGCTTAGGGGAAACAAAAAGAATGATGCAGTGAGTGTAGGAGCAGAGTTGGTTGTGTGGTGCACAGTTAAACTGAAATAGGTCTAACCAGCCAAGTCGTCAGATGCGCTATTGACATACTCCTACAGAATACACACCTATGCTCTTCATATTTCTTGTCTTACAGTTTTATATTATATTTTCTATATTTCTAAGTCACATTAGAGTAATGAAATGATTTTCCCACAACTTTTATAGTTTCACTATATGTAACAATAGCAACAAGCATCACCATCTCTTCCAGGCCACCACTAACTGGCATGTCAGACAGCTGACTCCTGGTGTGGCTCTCAGAAAAATGGACTTCTTTAACAATTATTCTACTCTATATAAATGATGTGGCTTAGAAATAAAAAAATCTATAATATAAAACTTAAAATAATAATAATGAAGAACATGGGTGTGTATGTGTGGAAGTGAACGTATATGGAAGCTGTTCTAGCGAAGGCCTTGGCTATAAACTAGGGTAAGTGGCCGAATCGCCAGCCCAGCCGTCTTGTATATTGTTACTTGTAATGAAACTGTCAAGAAATCATTATAATACTCTAATGTGGCTTAGAAATGGGGAAAATATAATATAAAATTATAAAATAAAAAAAATAAAGAGCTTATGTGTGAAGTAAATGTGTTATGAGGTGGTGGGTTACTGGGCTTTAAATGCATCACGGCATACACACCCACCACGGTGGCCGCCACACATACTGTGAGTCGACTGAGCTGGGTAATTGCCTGAACTATGTCACAAGCTGGATGTGTGAGAGGTATGTGTGTTGAAGAACTTATTCTTTGTACACAAAATAATATATACTGTACCAGTAAATTTGAGGAATAAATATAAAAATAATAATAATAAATAAAGAAAAAATACTGCAGGAGGCAGTGGGAGAGTGGAGCAGTGAGTGAGGAAACACCAGCATAGCTCTCTCTCTCTCTCTCTCTCTCTCCCATCCTCATCGTTTGCTTCTACATACATAAAGATTAATTCCCTTTATGTTTTTGACCTTATGATAAGTATTTATAATTTTTAGGCACATACTGTGTGTGGTGTGCATTTACTTTGAAATAGGCCTAACCAGCCAAGTCGCCAGATGCGCTATTGACGGGTATATATAACCATGTACTTTATGGGTGATTTAAGGGAGTTTCAAGGGCATTTTTGACTATGCATTTTTGGTTTTATGCGCTCTCAGCCCCGCGTAAGATGCGACATGACTGTACTTCCATTATCCCTTTATCTCCTCTCATTCAACAAATGTTTGGAGTGGAGGGCCATGGTTACCAACCCTCAGACAGAAGTGATGGGATCTTGATTCATTCTTTCATTATCCCTGTGATAGGTCCATACATGTTCTTTACTGTATTCCTGTCATCTTGAATGGAGGACATATACTGTAGTCAATTTTGTGCAAACTAAATCTATTTAGTAGCCCAAAAAAGGCTTCCTGGATTAAAGTGAAATTTTGTGCGCAGGTTTATGTTAGAATGAGTTCTCCAGTCTCCACTAACTAGAATTCTGTTGACAGGAATTCACCAGTAACTGAATGCAGATGAGCAATCGGAGACGTTCTCTTGCTTATGGTTACTTTTGTAAAGATTAGGTCCGGCCCATATGAACTTAGATTGTACCAGTAATAATCCTGGGACATGTGAGTTGTATTGTATTAGATTTTTTATTTGTTTTTACTTTTTTCTCTTCGTTTCTCCATTATTTATCTTCTAGTGCACGTTTTCCTTTATATTCACATATTTTGGGTCTATTTTTAGGTTACATGTGTAAAACTGGAAGATTGAAAGAATAACAGGAAAATATCTGATTGGTGAAAATTTGGTCCAGGACAGGGAATCTTAATAGTTTCTTATATTAATCAGACCAGGTGTAAACCAGTCAACCCAGCTAAGGGAGAACTCATGGTACAGTTTACATTGGTAGTGTGGGTGAGTGGGTTGAGACTGCTACTATTATGATCCTTGTGTGACTTAGAAACTTGGTTGGTTGGGGGAGTAAATGTTACCATGGGTGGTTGTACATGTATTTTTATTTATTTTTTGTGGGTTCTTTTGTTTTTGTATTGAAATATAAACTGTATTATACGGTATAGACTTTAATTATTTATCATGTTAAAGAGTCCTTGGGTTCTCTTGTTTACTTTATTTTGTGAATTTTTAATCCACAGTGTTCAGCATAGTAAAAGCTTCTTCCTATTTTGTGGTTCTATGGTTGTGAGAGAATCATGATCTAATTGAGGAGAGGTTGGAGGTTTTAAGATCACTAGGTTTTTTTTTTTTTTTTCCATAATTTTTTTTAATAATTTTTTATTTATTTTTTTAATTGTTTTTTGGAAAGTTTATTTTTCTCGATTTAACCTCGTGGTGGGGGGTACAGCCAGCAGCACACTAACCCGGGGCTTAAGGGTTATAGAACAGTGTCACACTACCTTATGTACGCTCCTAATTTTGGTTATGACTTTTTTATGACATTGAACACTTAGTAGATGATCTCAGTTAGTGGAAGACTCCAGCATATTATGGCTCATATAAAGTGGTTCTGTATGATACTGTAGCACTATAATTTTGTTGGGGATTATTGGAGAGAGTCACATACATATAATGTCCTTCTCTTTTTTATCATACTGGATAGTGCAATATTCCTGCATGAATTTTGATGGCATGATGTTAATTACTGTATTATTGTCTTTTGTGTCACTCTTGTACTACACTGGGGTTTGCTGTGAAACTTGGAGGTCAGAATTTGTTTATGTGTAATTTTCTCAAGACACTGCACACTTTTAAAGCCTTGCCAATGATTATCTTATGTTTTGTGTTTGTATATTAAAGCACAATTTATAGTTGCTGCAAAACATTGTTATTATTTTTTGTTTTGTGTTTCAGCTGACTTGTGAGCTTTACTGGAGAGAAATTATCAGGTGGCTGTGAACTTGTTTGTTCATTGAATGCTGTACAGTGTTATGATTATACAGTACTTTAATTTACAAAATTATCTGGTGAGCAGCATTTGATTTGTACACCTTAGTATAATTTCAAGCACCGTAGAAGGTTATAGCTGCACGGGAAGTCTGCTTGAGCACTTTACGTTGCCACTTCAGGGTTCAGAGTTAGCATCATGTTGTTTCTGGAACCTGTATTTGTGTCAAGAAGACACTCACAGCGTCTACAAAAGTTTCGGTTAACGAATTAGCTCCCATAAGGATCTTCAATTCGGTTAACGAACAAAAAACTAAATCCTTGCGACAAACACGTTTTGTTGTGAGCATCAGCTGATCGGTTAGTCCGCCAATACAGTAATCTGTTCTATGTTTACATTCGTTTCCAGTGGAGTAAATATCAAGAAGGTTGTGTTCTTGAATATTTTTGCATTTTTTATATTAAAATTATTGGTCATTCTAAAATTTAGCCATCCAAGCTCTGTCTACATAAAGTTTTTCAACTATTTTTGGCTCATGTATGTAACTTTATTCATTTATTGAAACTCATTTACATGCACACACTGTCCAAAGGGCAAAGCTGAACTGTACATGTAATCAGAATAATGTACAAAATGATTACTACAATTTTTGTCTAGTGCAAACTATGGCATGTTTACATTCAAATTATCACTATCTTATAAGAACTCCAGCAATGTAAATTATATTCTCCCCGGTCACTTCTATGAAATCGTATAAGCAAAAAACAAATACTCAATCTAAAGGACATCAATAAACAAATTAATACTTCACCAGACCTTGGCGCAAACTGTCAAAAATGTCACTGTCACCCCTCCCCTCCCTCCCTCCCTCCCAACCCCCTCCTCTCAACGAAGGTTTCTGGTTATACAATAGGCTTTAATCTTATAAAATATCTCAGACTAAAGTTAGGAGAAAATAATTTGCATTGCTGGAATCCTTGCAAGACAGTGAATAATTTGAATATAAACGTCATATATTTTGCACAAGAGATAAAATTAATCACCTGTATCACATTACAGTAGTGATTTAAGAGTTCTAGTGTGTGTGTATATATATATATATATATATATATATATATATATATATATATATATATGCAAGTAAATCACTGTAGGTATGTGATCTGTTGCATCACATCTTCAGAGGTAAGTAGACTAGTCTGTACTCACCTCTGAAGATGTGAATTACACCTAAAGCGCTTTGTGAACTGTGTTTTCTTCTTTCCTGGTTAATATATATATATATATATATATATATATATATATATATATATATATATATATATATATATATATATATATATATATATATATATATATATATATATAT